GTCATGTGGTAAAGTCATGTGGTGGAATCACGTGGTGGAATCACAAGGTAAAGTCATGTGGTGGAGTCACGTTATAAAGTCACGTGATAAAGTCACGTGGTAAAGTCATGCGGTAGAGTCACGTGGTGGAGTAACGTGGTAGAGTCACATGGTAAAGTCACGTGGTGGAATAGTCACCTGGTGGAGTTACGTGGTGGAATCACGTGGTAAAGTCACGTGGTAGAGTCAAGTGGTGGAGTCACACGGTGGAGTCACGTGATGGAAGAATCACGTTGTGGGATCACGTGGTGAAGTGGTAAAGTGACGTGGTAAAATCACGTGGTAGAGTCACGTGGTGGAATCACGTGGTAGAGTCAAGTGATAAAAACACGTGGTAGAGTCACGTTGTAAAGTCAGGTGGTGGAGTCACGTGGTGAAGTCACGTGGTGGTGTCACGTGGTAGAGTCACGTGGTTGAAGAATCACGTAGTTGAATCACATGGTAAAGTTATGTGGTAAAATCATTTTGTAAAGTCACGTGGTAAAGTCTCGTGGTGGAATCACATGGTAGAGTCACGTGGTGGAGTCACGTGGTAGAGTCACGTGGTGGAGTTACGTGGTAGAGTCACGTGTTAAAGTCACGTGGTGGAATGATGTGGTGGAATCACATGGTAAAGTCACGTGATAAAGTCACGTGGTGGAGTTACGTGGTAGAGTCACGTGGTGGAATCATGTGGTGGAATCACATGGTAAAGTCACGTAGTGGAGTCACGTGATAAAGTCACATGGTGGAGTCACGTGATGGAAGAATCACGTGGTAAAGTGACGTGGTAAAATCACGTGGTAGAGTCACGTTGTGGAGTCACGTGCTGTAGTCACGTGGTAGAGTGACGTGATGGAGTCACGTGGTAGAGTCACGTGATAAAGTCAAGTGGTGGAGTCACGTGGTGAAGTCACGTGATGGAGTCACTTGGTGGAGTCACGTGATGGAAGAATCACGTGGTGGAATCACATGGTAAACTGACGTGGTAAAGTGACGTGGTAAAATGACGTGGTAAAATGACGTGGTAGAGTCACGTGGTAGAGTCTCGTGGTAAAGTCACGTGGTGGAGTCATGTTGTGGAGTCACGTGGTAGAGTCACGAGTTACGTGGTAGTCACGTGGTAATGTTACGTGGTGGAGTCACGTGGTGAAGTCACGTGGTGAAGTCACGTGGTGAAGTCACAACAAGGTCTTGTCCTTAAGTATGTTCTGTTATAATATGAAGTTGATCCCTTCAATAATAGCAAAGTTACAGCCAGTTACAGCCAAAACAATGAAAATTTCAATAATTTGACCTTCAAAGTCAAGGTCATTAATGAGTAAAGGTCAAGGTCTGTCTGGTTATTTTTAACGGTTATTCTTGAAAAATATTATGTTCAAGTTTGAAGACAATCCATTCAAAAATAACAAAGTTACAGCCAATAATAGCCAAAGAAATGAAAATTTCAATAATTTGACCTTCAAAGTCAAGGTCATTTATGAGTGAAGGTCAAGGTTTGTCTGGTTATTTTTAAGAGATATACTTGAAGATTATTATGTTTAAGTTTGAAGACAATCCATTCAAAAATAACAAAGTTTTAGCCAATAACAGCATGAACAAGCAAAATTTGGACTTTTAACCTTGAAGGTCAAGGTCATTTATGGATGAAGGTTAAGGTTAGTGTGGTCTACTGAAAGGTCTTGTCCCAATGGTTGTTGTGGCCAAGTATGAAGACAATACACTAAGAAATAAAAAAGTTATGATCCAGGTACAAGTTCCCCGCCGCGACTATAACAATACCTCTACTTTTTTTTCAAAAAAAAAAAAGTCGAGCTAAAAACTAAAATATTCTCTATTATTTATCCTCATAGATTAAATATTCAGTATAAACTTGATAAAACTAAACTTGAAATAGCATGTTTATTAAATTTTAGAATAAATTTATTAATATTTTTACAAGGTATGGGCATTTTACAGTTGATCCAAATTTTGGTCTTGATCCTAACATTGATCCTCATTTTGATCTGATTTTTTTGGTATTTGTTTTGCAAATCAGCAATTATTTATTTCTCAAAAATGTACCATTTAATTCCAGCATAATACAATCAGTTTTAGTTTTATAAAACAAATAAAAAACTAGAGGATGCTTTTGTAAAAAAGCGCATGTCTCCCCCACTGCTGAGAATAACTGTGAATGGAAACAGGAATGGAAATGGAGATAAGATAATGTAATTACCCGGTAGTCACTTCAATGAAGGCTGTCTATGGATGGTTTCTATTGTTAAGGTTGTATGAGAAGATGCTTCCTAAACTGTTTGTTTTTAACCAGGTATTCAATTTTGAAGACCAATCATCCTATGAAGTTTGAGGTCTGTAGGTCTAAAGGAACTCTAGTTATCATCCGGAAACGAGAAATTGACCAACGGTCAGTGTGACCTTGACCTTTGACCTACTGACCCCAAAAACAATAGGGATCATCAGCTCTATAAGACCAATCATCCTATGAAGTTTGAGGGCTGTAGGTCAAAAGGAACTCTAGTTATCATCCGGAAACGAGAAATTGACCAACGGTCACTGTGACCTTGACCTTTGAACTACTGACCCCAAAAACAATAGGGATCATCTGCTCAATAAGACCAATCATCCTATGAAGTTTGAGGTCTGTAGGTCTAAAGGAACTCTAGTTATCATCCGGAAACGAGAAATTGACCAACGGTCAGTGTGACCTTGACCTTTGACCTACTGACCCCAAAAACAATAGGGATCATCAGCTCTATAAGACCAATCATCCTATGAAGTTTGAGGGCTGTAGGTCAAAAGGAACTCTAGTTATCGTCCGGAAACGAAGAATGGACGGACGGACTGACGGACGGACGGACAGGGCAAAAACAATATGTCTCCCCCCGAGGTGGGGGAGACATAATAAAATCAGGATCATATGATCCTGATCTTTTCTTTGTGATCACAGTGCCAGTGTCCTAGTTTTTTGACTGGAGGTGACCCATATTAAAACTTGACCTAACAATCTTCAAAACAACCCTCCTGACCAATTTCCAGGATATTAGGATCAAAACTGCAGCCACTAGAGTGTAAACAAGCTTTTCTATTTTTAGCTCCTGTGACCTAAATTTTGACCGGAGATGACCCATTTTCAAACCTGACCTAGAAATCATCAAAACAACCTTCCTGACAATTTTTCAGAATATTTGGATCAAAACTGCAGCCACAATAGTATTAACAAGATTTTTCTACTTTTAGCTCCTGTGACCTAGTTTTTGGACCAGAGATGACCCATATTCAAACTTGACCTAGAAATCATCAAAAGCAACCTTCCTGACAAATTTCCAGAATATTTGGATCAAAACTGCAGCCACTAGAATGTTAATAAAATTTCTCTATTTTTAGCTCCTGTGACCTAGTTTTAGACTGGAGATAATCTATATACGATCTTGACCTAGAAATCATCAAAAACAACCTTCCTGACCAATTTCCAGGAAATTTGGATTAAAACTGCAGCCACTAGAGTGTTAACAAGCTCTTTCTATTTTTAGCTCCTGTGACGAAGTTTTTGACCCCAGATGACCTATCTTTGAACTTGACCTGTATTTTATTGAAAAAAAAACAACAAAAAACAAAACAAACAAAAAATTGACAAAGTTTGATGATGATCCAATCAAAACTGTGACTGCTGGAGTGTTAACATCCCAATTATTGAAGATGAATGACACACAGCGACAGACATAGCCCAATCACTATACCTCACCTTGACCACTTCGTGGTCAGGTGAGCTTAAAAAACCAATGACCCCCAGGGCTGGGCCAATTTTGAACCCAGAGGTTATATTTGAACAAACTTGGTAGACACCCACTAGAAGTTATGTCATGCTACATATCTAAGCTCTAACTTTTTCCGATTTTTTTTACAAGAAGTTTATTTTAGGTTTTACTGTATAAACATAAGGAAAATCAATGACTCCCTGGGGCAGGGTCAATTTTGACCCCAGGATTTTCATTTGAACAAACTTGGTATACACCCACTAGAAGATATTTCATGCTAAATATCTAAGCTTTAGCTCTTTTGTTTTTTTACAGGAAGATTTTTTAAGTTTTTTCTTTCTGTTGCCATGGCAACCAGAATTAAGCACGAAATGGAATTTTTTGAACAATTTTTAAAGAATTCTATGCCAGGAACATTCCTGTTCAGTTTTAACAATATAAGCTTTCAAGATAATGGGCGGAAACCATACTAACATTCAAGAACCCTGCAACCTTGACCTTTGATCTAGTGACCCCAAAATCAATAGGGGTCACTTACTAGTTATGACCAATCAGTATGTGAAATATGAAGACTGTGATAAATAGTTTTAAGTTAATAAGCGATAACCATTCTGACAGTTAAGGTAGAATGCGACACTTTGCGATATTTCGAGTAGCGTCTTAAAAATTGGCATGCAAAAACTTGACAATATTTCTGATTAGGTTCCGTTGATTTTATTTCAATAGTTTAAGCCAATTTTTGTACACACCGCGTTGACCATCAAAGCCCGTTTTTTAACATGACGTCTTTGCGTATCCTTGACAACTGTTACGGGTATTTCAACGCCATTGGTGGACAAACTATCTTTAATTCTTCAGCATTCGACGGAAATTATTTTTTCCTTTAAGCTGATATAAATTTATCGTTTTACGCCGAAAAATGTTTGAAAAATGGAAAGAAAATTGTCAATTTTGTGTAAAATTTGACGTTCAGTTTAGCCGCATTTTTCGGCTTTAAAGTGGCTTATTAAAAAATTCCTGAAATAAATTTTTGATTTTTTTCGTTAAACGTACTTTAAAATGTATACTCAGTCTAAATGACTCAATTTCCATATTCAAAAGCTAAAAATGTCCTGCATTTATGATTTTTATGATTTAGTAATAATGATCAAACTTGTTACATCTGACCTCAATATATTTAGCCAAGATGTTTTTTTATGTAAAATAATTATGTTGTTTACTTACTATTTGTAAATTTTTTAGTTTTCCAATTTCAGGCGGAAATGTCTCAAAATCGTTGTCTCCTAGATACAGTGCCCTCAGTGAATCTGTTCCAAGATATAAGCAACAAGCAATTATCATAGTATTGCAAGCAATCCATAAGTCCCCTACCGGTTAGAACCCCAGCAACATTCTGATGGGCCATAGGCCATTCAATTTTACCAGTGAATGAAGACATGAATAAACTAAAATCTTTTGAGTTCTAAGTTTGTCTATATTATAGTAATGTGTTGAGTTTCCCTGCCGAGTAAGGAAATTATGTTTATACAACAGATAATCAAAAGGTCCAATTTTCTCAGGATGAATAAGTATAACTAATGTTTCAACTTTTCTCTATTTTAAGTAAATTTGTTGGAAAAAATCTTTAAAAGTGATCTCAGGAAACAGTTTTTATGAACAGACAGACAGACAAACATACAAAAAGACAGAAGGAGTCTCTTAAGTTATTTTTTTAAACATCCCTGTTACCAACATATAACATATTTTAATGCAAAATTCTTAAAGAGGAGATAATTCTTGAAATAAAGATGCTAGATTTATGAACATTGTCATATATGATGTGAGTTTTACTTTAAGTTTAAAGATACCATTTATAGTCACAAAGAAGATAAGTAAAAAAAAAACAATTTTCAAATATAGCATTAACTATAATGTATAGTAAGTAACAAAGATGAAAATAAAAATAAAATATAATGTAGGTGTTGATAATGATTGTTTATTTTGAATTTCAAGAAAATCCATGAAGAAAAAATTAGAAAGTTAAAGAATGAATAAGAAAAATTCAATGTTTAAGAAGGAGATAATTCTGGAAATATGGATTCTAGATTTATGCACCTTATCATATTATTACGATGTGGGATTTTAAAGTAAATCCTATAAGGAATGAAGAAGTTGGAGTAAAAAATACCAATTTCTCGAAAAAAATCTAAGTTTAAGGGGGACATATTTCTGGAAATAGTCTTGCTAGAGTATTTAACCTTCTCACAAATGTTGAGTGATAATAAGAAACATAAATATGAAGTTTGAAGTAAATATACACAGGCTGTCAACCAGGTCTTATCCAAAATAAAGGAGGAATATAGGAATATTTCAGCAGGAAATATAGGAGTTTTTGGACCATTTTGAGGCAAAAAATAGGAGTTTTCAACTTAAATTGTTTACATTACTAATGCTTATATAAATGTAAATTATTCTTACCTTTACACAATACTGTTTCTACAATAAAATGTCTACTAGGGTTTCTTAATCGGACAAAAATCATAATTGACCATCGAAAATAATCGAACAACCCTTTTCAATCAATCATCGATTATATAAACGAAACATTTACAATAACAAAGTATCCTAGTGTACATATCTGTTATCATACTTATTATAATATTTGTAAGAATTCCATTAATATTCTATATTTTGTGTAACTACCACTTAATTAACTGAAATAAACTAGTTACTCATGCTATGTTCATCCTTGAGTAAAATATTTAAATCAAATAAATTCATTACATCTATGAAATTATTATGTCTCAATTCGAATAAAGGAATGAGTAAACTATGTATGGGAACAAGAGAAGTTGGTCATAATTCTTAACAAAACTGCCAGTTTTTTTTTTTAATGACACTATATATTGATATTGTAACCATCTTTAGTTTGTAGAATAATTTTATACCACATATCTTCTTTGTTAGTCAAAACATGTTTATTTCATATTTACAAATACTGTGAAGCAATTTTCTAATGTCAAATTGGAGCATAGTATGTCTTTAAACTAGAATGCCTCACTGTCAGTTATTAACTTCATGGTCACCAGTATTCTTTCCATTCATTTTAATGAAAATTATTGGGTCAATCAAAGCTGGCTTTAATTTAAAGTGTTGTTATAACACAGTGAGTCACTTAAGTAACAGCAAGAAGATAAATTACTGATAATCGATTATTGAATTTTGTATTCGATCATCGCTAATCGGTCCTATAAACGATAAATTATCGATTATACTCGATCATCGTTTAATCCCTAATGTCTACCATATAAGTGAAGGAAACCATTAGCTTTGAACCACAGCATCAGCATCCCGGCAGAAAGTTACAGTAATGCATGACCATCATCTGAATGGTCACCTGAAATAAAGTTGACACACTGATACACTGCTTTTCATGGTGACCATGCAGATGGCTATGAGGAGCACAGCAGCCTTGAGCATAGTAATGTGATGCTGATGCAGGCATAGACATTCTCTTACCTGTAAAATACAAAAGGCCAAAAGCAGTACCTAAATTTAAATCTCTTTGAATTCCTCGGCAATATATTTTTGAAAAAATATAGGAAAAATATTCAAAATATAGGAGAATATAGGAAAAATAGGTTTTTTAAAATATAGGATTCTGACCCAAAATATAGGAGTTTTATAGGAATATAGGAATTGGTTGACAGCCTGTATACATTAAGAAATAAAGAAGTTATTTAAAAAAGACAACCTTTTTTTCATAAAAAAGTTCAAGGGAGGTAATTCTGATAATTTGTGTGCTAGAGTTGTAAACCTTGTCACATATGATGTGGTTGATGACCAGAAACTTATATTTGGAGTTTGAAGTAAACACCTTAAGAAATAAAGAACTTTTAGTGAAAAGCGTAAAACTTCAAATCAGAAATCTTGAAATTCAGTCTATTTGTTGCCATAGCAACCAGAATTTTCAACATAGGAAGAAAAGAAAAATATGTGCATAATCTCCAGACTGCCATCTACCCATATTTCAAGTTTCATAAAAATATGTTCAGTACTTTTTGAGTTATCACTGGATCAAGTTCATGTGTTAAATTTGCCATATTTTCAGTCTATTTGTTGCCATAGCAACCAGAATTTTCAACATAGGAAGAAAATAAAAAGACGTGCATAATCTCCATACTGCCATTGATCCATATATCAAGTTTCATAAAAATATTTTCAGTACTTTTTGCGTTATTGCGGGATCCAGTTTTGTGGACGGACGGACAGACAGACAGAAGGGCGGTGGGTAAACCTAAAGTCCCCTCCAGTTAAACCGGTAGGGGACTAACAAGCAATTATCACAGTATTGTAAGCAATCCATAAGTCCCCTGCCGGTTAGAACATCAGCAACATTCTGAAGGGCCATTGGCCATTCAATTATGCCATTGAATGAATGAATGAATGAATGACATGAATGAACTTAAATCTTTTGAGTTCTTTGTTTGTCTGTATCATAGCAATGTGTTAAGTTTCCCTGTCTAGTAAGGAAATTATGTTTATACAACAGATAATCAAAAGATCCAATTTTCTTAGGATGAATACGTATAACTCATGTTTCAACTTTTCTCTATTTTAAGTACATTTGTTGGAAAAAGTTCCAAGATCTTTAAAAGTGATCTCAGTAATCAGTTTTAAATAAGACACAGCCAGACGATCTGAAAGACACTCTGAAGGTTAATCTTTAAAAATCCCTGGTTGTTACCAGAATATAACATTTTTAAAAGCAAAGCTGCTAGACTTATGAACATTGTCATACATGATGTGAGTGTAACAAGGAACAATTATCTTAAGTTTAAAGAAGATACCATTTATAGTCCCAAAGAAGAAAAGTTTCTGAGCATATGATTTTCAAAGTTTTTTTTTATACATAATAAGTAGAACCATGACCCCCTTGGGCAATGCCATGTTTGACCCCAGGGCTATAATTTGATCAAACAATGTAGTGGTCCATTACACAATGTTTCATGCCAAATAACTAAGCTCTAGCCTTAATGGTTTCAAGGGAGATTTTTTTTAAGAATTTACTATAAACATATTAGGAAAACAAATGACCCTTTTGAGTGGGACCAATTTTGACCCTATGCCTATAATTTGAACAAGATTGGTAGAGGTTCACTTCATGATGTTTCATGCCAAATACCTTAGCTCTAGCTTTTATAGTTTCAGAGAAGATTGCTTTTAACTATCAGTTGCCATTGCAACCACAGTTCAGCATCAACAACTTAATAAGAAGATAACCCAAGGATCATTCCTAGAAAGATTTGATATTATTGACCTTGTTTAGGAGGATGTTACTAAAATAAAGAAGTGTGGATGAACCAAGATGCTGGACAACAGAAGTTGAGTGATGTCAATAAGTCACATTCAGCACTTTGTGCTCTGGTGAGTTAAATAGAGGCATACTTCCATCATTAAAAAGTTGATTGCAGCAAAAATCAAATTTGACCTGAGTTTTGATATAACATACTTACATGCCAAATATAAACAAAATATAAACACTATCATTGAAATCTTTCAAAAGTTATCCTGTAGAAACCAATAAACATATACACACACACACACGCATGCACACATACACACAGTTAAAAAGGGGCATAACCCTAAACTGACTGAAGCGAAAATTAATCTTGACCAGTGTTTTGATATAAACACAATCATTCAAATTCGGATAAGGGGCCATTTCTATTGTTATTTTCTTTTGTTTAATAAAGAGTTAATGGCAGACATGCACCCAAAATGGAATAAGGAGCAATTTCTTTTGTTACAACACTATACAAAAATATGTCTCAAAGTTTCTTTGGGCACACAAAATTGTTCCACTTCTTCATCATTAAGATATGAGAAAGGTGAATACCTTGTGTGTTTAATAAGATGTAATGTTGCATTTAAAATTTTAACAAAGTTTTATGCCAAGACTGGCACAAGGGTGAGGATTGCTTAATTATTCTTTGAAAATATGAGCTTACTATTTGAACAAACTAACTAATTAAACAATTATCATAAAGTAGTATTATATTTGAGCTTACTAATACAAAGTTCTGACATTTTTCATAAAATTATTGAATATATACAAACCCAGATGAAAAAAGTTAGCTGGTAGACTGTTTTCACTAAGATTATTGTATGTCACATCTAGAACTTCAAGCACTGGGAATGCTCCAAATCCTCTCGGTAACATGTTCAGTTTATTCATCCTGTCATTTGTAAAAATTTAAAATCAATAAGGGGGCCATTGGCCCCAAAGTGCTTACCTGAGGACCGACAGTTGTTTGTGTGAAAGCAGTGAAAACTAGTGTTTATTACAAGAAATTGAAACATGTTGGTCACTAGACCTTATTTCATGTAAAATGTATTTTTAATACTATATACATGGTCCTAATTTCATAGCTGTATATCAAAACAAGAAAACTGGTCACGAGGTCAATGTTAAGGTCATTTCATAAAAAATGTCAGTTCTACACCTGAAATTGTTAACATGGTCAAAATGTAATAGCTGTATATAAGGAAGATTGCATTTGTGAAAAATGCTATGCCACCGCATTAATACAACACTAAATAGTAGTGTAGGAACAGATTTTTTATTTGTTTCTATACAATTGAAGATTGTCATAATGCATAGATCCCTCACCTATCAGATTAGTGGTTAAATGTAGTGTTATTAAAATAATTGATCAGAGTAGGAATCTGTCAATGCAGTTGAGTCTAGTGAATTTGGTGGTGAAGGTCATATTTCACATGGCCTAACTTTCATGACTGTACATCAAAGGACAACACAGTAAGACACTTTGTCAAAATCTAGGTCTGCTGATATCAAAGTTCAATTTTACAACTAAAACTGTGCACATGGTCAAAATTTCATTGCTATACATCAAAGGACAAGAAAGAAGGTCAATGTCCCCTTGGGCAAGGCAAAATTTTGACCCAAGGGTTTAATTCAAAACAATCTTGATATAGGTCCACCAAACAACATTTCAAGTCAAATATCTAAGCTGTAGCTTTCTCCCATTCAGAAAACATTTGTTTTATTTACTGTTTTTATTATGTGTACATAATGAGAATCACTGCCCCCGGGAAGGGCCAATTTTGACACCAGGGAAAAAATTTGAACAACTTTGGTAGAGGACCTATAGATGATATTAAGCAAACATCAAAGCTCTATGCCTTGTACCTTCAGACAAAAATATATTTTTTATTTTACTATATGTACATAATTAAAATCAATGACCCCCGGGGCGGAACCAATTTTGACCCCAGGCTATAATTTGAACAATCTTGGTAGAGGATCACTTCGCAAGGTCTCATGCCATATATATTTAACCTCTAACCTTTGTCAATTCAGAGAAGAAGATTTTTCAAGCTTTTACTTTGTACATATAAGGAAAACTATCGCCCCTGGGGCAGGGCAATTCTAACACTAGGGGCATAATTAAAACAACTTTAGTAGAGGACCCATAGATGATATTATATACAAAATATCAAAGCTCTATGCCTTGTACCTTCAGACAAAAAGATTTTTTAATTTTTTACTATATGTACATAGTGAAAATCAATGACCCCTGGGGGTGGGGCCAATTTTGACCCCAGGGCTATAATTTGTACAATCTTGCTAGAGGTTCACTACACAATGTTTCATACAAAATATCTTAACTCTAGCCTTTGTAAATTTAGAGAAGATGATTTTTTAATTTTTTACTTTATACATATAAGGAAAACATATGGCCCCCGGGGCTGGGCTAATTTTGACACTAGAGGCAAAATTTTAACATCTTTGGTAGAGTACCTATAGATGATATCATTTAACAAATATTACAGCTCTAAGCCTTGTCCCTTCAGACAATAAGATTTTTGATTTTTTACTATATGTACATAGTGAGAATCAATGACCCCTGCGTGTGAGGCCAATTTTGACCCCAGGGCTATAATTTGTACAATCTTGCTAGAGGTTCACTACAGAATTTTTATGCAAAATATCTTAACTCTAGCCTTTGTAAATTTAGAGAAGATGATTTTTAATTTTTTTTACTATATACATATAATGAAAACCTATGGGGCTGGGCTAATTTTGACACTAGAGGCAAAATTTGAACAACTTTGGTAGAGTACCTATAGATGATATCATTTAACAAATATTACAGCTCTAAGCCTTGTACCTTCAGACAATAAGATTTTTTGATTTTTTACTATATGTATATATTGAAAATCAATGACCCCCGGGGCAGGGGCTATTTTGACCCCAGGGCTATAATTTGAACAATCTTGCTAGAGGAATGTAGCAATGTTATTGTTACTACAGAATATTTATGCAAAATATCTAAGATCTAGGCCTTTTGGGTCTTTACAAGAAGATTTTTTAACATTATTTTTATAATTCCTTTTGATTCCCATGGCAACCAGATTTCTGCATGGAATGAAATTCTTTGAACAAATTTGGAAGCCCTTCACCCAAGGAGCAATACTGCTAAGTTTGGTTGAAATTGGACTAGTGGTTTTTCACAAGAAGAAATTTTTTAAGTTCACTATATAATCTATATAACACACAAACACACACATACACACAGGTGAATCGCTATATGCCACTGCATTGCAGATGCTGCGGTAGCATAAAAATCTATTTTCAGCACTGATGACCTTGACCCACTGACCCCTACCTCATCAGAAGGAAGAATACCATGCAATTTTTTTACTTCCAAACATGAAAGACATCTTTCAATAAATAAAGGTTGTATGAGCAAAAGTGTAAAAATCTATTATTGGCACTGGTAACGTGGACCTAACTGACCCACCTTCATCCGAAGAAAAAAAGCCAAATTTTATGTTCCTACAAAGTATAAGAGGCATCTGTAAATAGAATAAGCTTAACACATATGTAAAAGTTTTAAAAATCTATTTTTGATATTGGTGACTTTGACCTTGATAAAATAAAGACTGTATGCGCAAAAATGTTTTGCATTTTACACCAATGACTCGACCTTGACCCTAAGGACTCCTTACTTCATAAACAAGAATGCCAAGATGGCCCTAGATCACTCACCTGACCCATCAAACTCATCCAAGCAATTATCTAGACAAGCATTCTGACCAAGCTTCATCAACAAGAGCCACCGCCGGGCGGGGGCAACGCTCGTCTTTTTACTTTTTCCAAAAGCAAACAAAGAAAGGTTTGAACAAATCTTAACGTTTCCTTTTTATAAATTTAATCTGTCTCTCTTGTCACATTACGTTTGTCTACATATTTTGTATATATAAATATACTCATTTATATATATATATATATATATATAAACACGCAATTCTATAAATAGAAATATGCAATTCTATAAATAGAAACACACAATTCTATAAATAGAAACACGCAATTCTTTAAATAGAATCACGCAATTCTAAAAATAGAAACATGCAATTCTAAAAATAGAAACACGCAATTTTATAAATAGAAACACGCAATTCTATAAATAGAAACACGCAATTCTCAAAATAGAAACACGCAACATGCAATTCTAACAAGAGTCCGGTTTGAGCCGGCTGATGCTCCCCGAATAGGTTTTGGACACAGGAAAGTACACCTCTTGTAGTTTCAGAGTTATGTCCCTGGAAAAAGTTCAAAGTGCAATAATTCCAAAATTAGGCAAGGCAGAGTTACTGTTCTTTGCGCTACACTTCTAATCAATGTGATCTATCAACCTACAAAGTTTCTTGATGATATCTCTTATGATTTCTGAGTTATGTCCCGGACAACTTCAAAAAGTAAAAATAAACAACGGGCAATAACTCCAGAATTAGGCAGGGCAGAGTTATGATTCTTGTGCACTGCACATCTACCCATTGAGATATATCTACCTACAAAGTTTCATGTTGATATCTCTTATAGTTTTACAGCTATGTCCTGGACAAGATTTTTCTAAAAATGAGGCTTAACAGAGTTATGGTTTTTTTGCACTGCACCTCTACTCAATGAGATCTATCTACCTACAATGTTTCATCTTGATATCTCTTAAAGTTTTAGAGTTATGTTCCGGACAAAGTTCAAAGTGTTAAAATTAACAAAGGGCAATAACTCCAAAATTAGGACAAAAAGAGTTATTGTTCTTATGCACTGCACATCTACCCATTGAGATCTATTCACCTACAAAGTTTCATGTTGATATCTCTTATAGTTTTAGAGTTATGCCCCGGACAAGATTTTTCTATAAGGGGAGATAATTCAAACTCCGGGCAAAATAGAGTTATGGTTCTTTGACACTGCACTCCCCCTCAATGCCCTCTACCACTGTATGAAGTTTCAACAAATTATCTCCAAGGATTTTCAAGTTATGCTCTGTACAAGACAACGGACGGACAGACGGACGTTCTCACAGGACAGTAATTATGTGGCTACTCTATTGTTCTCTCTATTGTTCTTTTTAGCCACACAAAAGAAAATAGCCACATAAAAGCATTACGGAATGAATGACATCAAAGAGAAAGAACTGTTACCTATTGTCCCTCTAGCCACATAATTACTGTCCTGTGAGTGTGGACAGACTGACAGACGGACGGACGGACAGACGTACCAAAATTTGATGTTTATGAGGCAAATCAGCTCATAAACACCACCTGGACCAACGTCCATAAGCAAAATAAGCTCATAAAAACAAAAAAATAGCTCTTAATTTGAATTTTATAAGTTTTTGTTCTTTATTTAACTACGGAATGAAGCTCATAATAATCAAATGTTTGCTCGGACAGACAGACGAACAAGGCGCCGACTATATGCTCCCCCGAAATTTTTCGGGGAGCATAAAAATAGAAACACGCAATCCTATAAATAGAAACACGCATTCCTATAAATAGAAACATGCAATTCTAAAAATAGAAACATGCAATTCTATATAATAGAAACAGACAATTCTAAAAATAGAAACACGCAATTCTAAAAATAGAAACACGTAATTCTATAAATAGAAACACGCAATTCTAAAAATAGAAACACACAATTCTAAAAATAGAAACACGCAAGTCTATAAATAGAAACACGCAATTCTAAAAATAGAAACACACAATTCTATAAATAGAAACACGCAATTCTGTAAATAGATACACGCAATTCTAAAAATAGAAACACGCAATTCTATAAATAGAAACACGCAATTCTAAAAATAGAAACACGCAATGCTATATATAGAAACACGCAATTCTATAAATAGATACATGCATT